AAGTAAAAGCACGTGCACGGTACATGGATCTGGGTTCCATCATATGCAAGTTAGAAGCGAGTTGCACTAAAAAATCAACATAAGAACAGCAGTATTGCAGTATTTGCATATAATACAGCAATTCTTTCGGTAGAAAAGTAAAGTTTACCATATCTGCAGCTAAACATATCTGTTACACAAATGACTGTTTAACCTTAGCAAAGAAAAAACTGATTAAACTTACTTTACTAACTGGAAAATTGAGGAAATGACAATTTCTTCGATAAGTTGGTCAATAATGAAAACCTGCTCAGATATCGAAGAATGACACTCGCTAGAAAACAATCTGAAACCTAACTTCAGTATGTTATTAGAAAATTGTTATTATATTTTAAATTTAACCGTTTTCAAGAGTAAATTATAGGGTATAAATTTACGTACTTATAATCAAACAAAGAATAGTCTTTATAATTGAGAACCAACGATTCTATCTTTTTGTTTCCTCTTTGTCATAGGACAAAACTTCATTCTTGCCCCACAAAACCAGATAAATTTTTTATATTAAATAAACAGATGAGCTAGATCATCGACCTGCTGGAAACATGAAGTTTTTTCGGAGGATCTACGGAAGAGATCAACACAGAGAAAAACTTCCTTTCGGTTTTCGCCGAGCTTTCGACAATTTTTATACTGTCATCTTCAGAGTCTGTTTTATTATTATATAAAAAAAACAATAAAAATCATGAAAAACAAATTGCACAAAAATTGAAATATCTTTCTTAAACCTTAATGGGGAAATAAAAAGACAGTGTTTTGGGCACAGAAGTACATTACGTGTTTTTTTTTTTTTTTTTTTTTTTTGGTGCTCAGCATCTAAACATTATTTAAATTGAATAAATTAACAATTAAAAATTACAACTATAAGTACAATAAAAATGTTAAAAAAGCGTGGTCGAGAAAAGGTTACCTTAGAAAAGTCTAAAAAACTCGTAAAAAGCTTTTTTTTATATAGACTTTATGAGGTAACATTTTCTCGACCACGTTTTTTAATTTTTATTGTACTTATAGTTGTAATTTTTAATTATTAATTTATTCAATTTAAATAATGTTTAGATGCTGAGCACCAAAAAAAAAAAACGTAATATACTTCTGTGCCCAAAACACCATGTCTTTTTATTTCCCCATTAAGGTTTAAATAAGATATTACAATTTTTGTGCAATTTGTTTTTCATGTTTTTAATTGTTTTTTTTATATGATAATAAAACAGGCCTTGAAGATGACAGTATAAAAACTGTCGAAAGCTCGGCGTAAACCGAAAGGAAGTTTTTCTCTGTGTTCACCTCTTCCGTAGATCCTCCGAAAAAATTTAAACGAACAGACATTTCTAGAACAAATGCAATGAATGCCATTCTTCCTTGTCCCAGCAGTTATATTTTCGATCATTACGCATTTTGTATTTGGTTTTCGGTTTCATACCGTAATATATGATGCATTTATGTTCACGTCTGGGCCAAACATTTTTTTATCTTGCGTAATAATCTTAAGTTTAGACAAAATAGAAATAGCAGCTTATTTATAAGCAATCAGCATTATTGTCGTTTTTGGTTAAACAATTTATAAATAAAAATATCAATGCAAATAAAAAAATATTTTATGAACTTTAAACGGTTTTGTAAAGATAATAAGCCTCACTCTCTCAAGAGTCCAAGTCATTAACTGTTGAATGGTTCAGATCCCAGGGCTCTCATACGGTATGCTCGCTACGCCTGAATTCCATTTATCCAGGAATTTAAGTTTTTCATTTCACATATACCTTTCCTTCATTAAATACCATAATCATATAAAATAGTTAATGATCTAGATGAAAAGACTCATTACTTTTCTGTGAATTAACATCTTTTCTTTTTATGTTCTATAATTAATGCATATGTATGTAGTTATGTTTAATTTTTAATTTAGAATTATGTATAACAATTTACAATGATACAGACGATTTTCATTCCATGTTGTATCATTTTATAAATATGTTTCATTGAGGTGCACAAAACTGTACATTAAAGTGTTTCTATTTATCTACTTATCCAACTAAACTACAGTCATTTTAATTTATTTATCGTGTTTTTTATAGAGAGAGTTCGATAAATGTAAATATATATTTTTTGTTCCACCAGGGCTACATAAGTTGTAAATGTAATAAGTACACACTATTTTTTAAATATGCCAATGTTGAAAAAAAAGTGTGTGGTGATTAGTGACCGTTAGTCGAAGATTATTCAGAAATCGTGAGATGCGGTCTGGTGTGATGTAGGTTTCAGAAAAACATTTTTTTTTATCGTACCAGCGTTTCGATCTTTATTGAGATCATCTTCAGGGCTCAAAGTATTTTTTTTCTGTGTAATTGTGCCACTCTCTTGTTGCGGACACACGAGAATGGCATCATTATACAGAAAACAGACACTTTAAGCCCTGAAGAAGATCTCAATGAAGATCGAAACGTTGGCACGATAAAGAAAATGTTTTTCTGAAACGTACATCACACCAGACCGCATCTCACGATTTCTGAATAACGTTGAAAAAAAATTAATACAAGCTGAATCAGCTGAAAGTAGGCCGGATTTTTCTAATGTACTTTGTCTGACTTAATCGACAATCATTAAAAAGAAAATAAATCATTTACTCCATGAAAAAGTAACTGTTTGAGTAATTAAAATTCAACATTAAAAGCAAATTGGAAAATCAATTGGCGAGGGTTTAATGGAAATATTCAAATAACATTAATTAACTTCGTTAGAATCGATATCTGTAAAAAAGAATCAGCACGCAAAATTGAAAAATGAGAAAAAGTATTTTGTAAGTAAATTGGAAAAATTGTAACATAATTGATGAACATATCATACTACTAAAAATTATTATTACATATAGTTACATAAAATTTACAATTAAATAAATAATAAATTTCGTACTAGAGTTTATTTTTAGCACAATAATTTCCTCTTCTTAATGCATGTAATTTTTAGGTAATATTTTAATAATGTGTCAATATTAGCATTTGGATTGGATAAACATAATATTTACTATTGCTTGGTAGCTTTCTTTGATCGACTTAACTAAAGAAAGATATATTTTTACAATAAATTTATTCACAGAAAAGTTTCAAACAGTCTAAATAATGTAGAAATTAGGTTTAATATATTCAAATGTAAACTAAGCTTGTTTGGATTCTCCGGTTCTTAACTCCTGTGCTTATTTTTGTTAAACTAAAAGAACTTTTAATAATCAACTTATGAAAATTAACTAAATCAGTACATAAGAATTTTAAACGTTATTATAGATTTATTATTGAATAATGCTCTACTTCGTCGATTTGTAAACACATAATTGATGTTTTGACATATAATATAAAATATCTTTTACTTCTAATTGTTATCATTTTACACCTTTTTGTTATTTTTCAAATGGCAAAAAGGAGGGCAAATTCAAAAGGTGCGGTTGAGATAGGAAGTTAGTGTCCGAGTGGATAGAGGTCACGATAGCTCGAGTGGTCGATAGATCGTGGGTTCAAATCCCGCTCGTGCCACTGACTTTTTTATCTCAACTAAAAACCTTAATTAATTGTAATATATCAATTGGTCAAGCGGACCACGAAATTAGCGAATTTAAAGATTTTGTATATTTTAAAAATTATAGTTGTTGCAGTTGTTGTCTATGTTGCAGTGTATATTCAATCACCTACAACACAAACATTATTTATGAACCCTGAATAGATATGACGAAACCTGAATTCCTCAATTTTTAATATTTTCAAAAATTCATAGAGCCGTCAATTTTGGAAGTATTCCAAAGTTGTGGTCTCATTCTTTTCAGAAAAAATCCGGTTCAGAAAATAATTTTAAAAAAATATTGAGGTTCTCATTTAAAATAAAAAAGGTGTCGTCGACGTCGACGATACTTGGCGTAACAAAATTGATGACGGCTTTCGAATCTGCTTAAAAGTGTAAAGGGGTTTGGTCACATTTGTGTATTTGTTCAAAAAATAAGGAAAACCTGCTTAAACCTACTGTTAAAAAAGGTATTCTGTAAATGCCAAATGGAATCACCAGAACATTGTATACCCAAGAGCATTGCGATGGACTTAAAGTTGAATACAACAGTAATCACATTTTTAATTTATTATACGTTTAATCTAAGGGCTTGGTTGAGATGAAAAAGCTAGTGTCACGAGCGGGATTCGAACTCACGGCCGTCGGTTAAACGCAGCTCTCATCCTACAACTTTTCGAATTTTCCCTCTTTTTGCAATATTTTCAATAGCCGAAGGTCGTGGGTTCGAATCCCGGTTGTGTCACTATCTTTTCATCTCAACCAAGCAATAGCAATACAAATATATGTACTGAAGATAATGTGTGGAATAATGCTTTTTGTTATCCCCCTGTCAACCCCGTGTTATACAACTTTTTAGAATAAAGAAATGCGAAATAGGTCAGTTCTTTTCAACAATAATTAACTATATTTTAATGCTTACATATAATTACAAATGTCCATAATAAATCATCAAATTTGTAAATTGTAAAATTTATCATTCCGAACAACTGGATAATTCATGATATAAAGAACAAATATTTTTCCCGCTATTTAACACCCACTTCAATTATGTGTACCAGCCATGTTTAACATTGCGGGTTAGGGACGGCAGATTGAAGTATAAAGGATTCTCTGGCGGTTTTTCTTGAGTTAAAAATGCAACATGCCCATATGGTAAACGGCACATTCCAAGGGGAAAAGGCCAATTGTGTTTTTTGGTTTTTAAAGAGATTAGAATATATTTTCTTCAATTTTATTGGCTGTAAGGAAACGCCGTTTGTTCTTATTTTTCCATTACGAAATAAAAATTATATATTTACGAACAAGGAGTGGGATAAAATAATGCCAACCTGTGGTGAAGGCGCTTGTGCGACGGTGTTGGTGGGGAAGCCTGTTGCTACAAATCCACCCCCGCTTCATTCAGTTTCGAGTCACCCCCGTACCCGCATCACCCCCAACTGGTCAACATCGCGATCTCTTATGTCCGTCTGTCTACGATTCAAGGTACTTCAAAAATATCTCGAACCATACAATTAACGGTCCAACCCTCAAATAGTCGACTTTCTATTGCATTGAAGTCTTAAGAAAAAATCCTGCGATTTTTTTTTAATTGGTAAGACATAAAGCCATATTTTTTATAATTTTATCATATATATTTTTACTAATAATACATAATTTGTGAAGAACTTGTACAACCAATATTTTAAGAAAAATATTTACGAGCTAATTTAAAACAAAAATATGCTAGCAAGTCAATTCTTAAAACCAATAATAAAAATTAAAAATGACAAACTCGGACAAAAATGAACTCCAGAAACGCCCGCTGAGCTTAAAATTTTTTGGATATCAGGCAATAAAAGCTGTTTTGAAACTGAAGTGCAAACAGCTGAGATATACTAAACAAACAGGGGAATGAATAACGCCTCCTGGTTATCTTGTTTTGATTTTGTCGAAACTCAATTTGATGGGCCTAAGCTCTTACCACAAAAATATGAATGAATATAATTCAAAAAGTTGTACTTTAATTGTTAACATAAAAACGAAAAGATTAGCACTGTTACAAACAATACGGCAAAATGTAATTAACAAAAATTAATATATCTAAAAACGAGAGCTAAGGACAAAACCCTCAAATAAACAAGAGCAGAAAATCCAGGTTTCAAAATATTAATATTTAATAATATTATTATGTGTTTAAAAAAATAATTCGTTCGTCAACAAACACAATTCTTTTTAGAGTATCGGAGAAATTTTATAATACAACTTTAAATTTATTCATTTCCGGTATTTATAGAATTTTTTCACCGTCGTTAATATAGATACATGTAACTAGTAGAAGTTGTATTTTGTATTTATTTAATGGCAAACCTCTTACGATTCAGTAAGGATAGGTCATTTTTCTTCAATAATTTATGCTTTGAATTCAACTTTCTGTTATTCTAATCTTCCAATTCCCTTTACTAATTTCGAAAACAAAACGTACAAGAAAGCTTCATAATTCATTTTAAACAAAAGCATCTCACTAGAGAAAATTTGCAAAAATAAGCGATTAAATCAATACTAACGATAGGTTGCAAATAACAGCTGCGTCACTGATAAAAAAAACTGTACCGAAACAGAAGAATATACAGCAATATTTACTGATTTTATTTCTTGAGATTAACGCTTATTGAATTTACATATTTAAAATTTTGAATATTTGAAATTCTTTTTGTTACTATTTGCGCATGGATTTATTCCCGAACGGATAGATTTAATTTTAATTCCCTTAATGCAATTAAGTGCTCTGATTATATCGTGAAATTTATGTGCTATTGTCTATTAAATAAGTTCCATAAAAGCTTTTTTTATAACATTTAGTAAAGTTGAAATCAAGCCCGATAAAAAGGAAAATTCAATAGAATAATAATTGGTCTCCTTTGACTAACACTCACATCGTAGACGTAAGTTCATATCTTTTATTGTTTTGGTTTTATCAAAAAATACTGTATATAAGTGGTAAGTTTATTGGCCGATAAACAGCTGAGGTCATCGTCGGCCCTATGTGCGTTTTCCTTCTTTTTCTTTTCTTTCGCGCATATTTTGTTTTAAACTGCAGCCATTTGGGCGTCTTGATCTGGTTACTGGCTCTCTGATTTCAGATATATACTACGTTGATATCCTAGAATGCTAGTCTCTCCTTTGTACCTCAGATTGTCAAATACAGAATAGAAACAAAACATACAATACGTATAATCACCACAAACACAGATGTCTGGTCACTTCACTCCTCCAGAGTAATCGATATTTCTAAGCAACCCCTTCCTTTCACACTAATAAATTACTTTTACTCTCCAGACGTCACGTCATACACTCGCCCCAAGAGTAACTCGATAGTCCTCGGGTCGGGGTTATAAGCAACCCTTTCCTTTCACGCTAATAAATTACTTTTACTCTCCAGACTTCATACACTCAACCCAGAGTACTTGATATTCCTCGCGGCGGGGTTATAAGCAACCCCTTCCTTTCACGCTAATAAATTACATTCATTACAATAAATTAAAACAAACACAACACTCGATAGAAACATAGAGGTCTGATCCTATTCACTCCCCCCCAGAGACTCGATATTCTTTGGGACGGATTTGAACTCTCTCCACTCTTGCTAATAACTTACTTTTACTCTCCGTTTCAGCGGTACAAATACTTAAAAAAATATTGTTATTGTATAAATCGAAATAGAATGTATTTTAATTATTTTTTCTAACGTGCATTACTGTTGAGGAAACGACAATATTTAGGTCAATTAAATTATAATTTGTAAGCAAAAACAAACTACATTTTTTGCGTTGACGTTAATTTATACTAATTAAAAAGTAATTCAACATTTCAAATTGGTCTTTCATGCAGGTCTGGGCAATTAATTCGTCGCCTAATAAACTGCAGGTTTAATGGATTGCATAATTAAAGTTGTGCCCTATCGCAAACCGCGTTGAACTGGAAAGATAGTCAAAAGTTTATAAGGTGATACATTTTTATCACCCTTCACGGTATTTTTTTTTTATCACCGGTGATATTGCAGTTATATCTTTTTCAAAAAACTAATTTGTCTGAGAGTTTACGATTCATACGAAAGTTTACGAATACGCTTTAAATTAGCTACGTGTTCTAGCAATAAACGATGAACAGTATGGCATTTTGTCCCCTTTATAACCAATTGCGATCGGCCTTCGAGTTAAAATTAATACAGTATCAACACAGAATTTGGTCATATCAAAATTCAAGTTCTCAGTTTGAACTATTTTCAACATAACCGACCAGAAAACAAAATGACCTAGGTAAAGTAAATGTAAACATAAGAGATATTCGTGTTTAACCAATGATGGGTGTTATCCGCGCTGTTTTGGCCTGTCAGACTTGTCTCGACACTTCACCAATTTATGTGACATGAGATGCCTGATTAGTATGTAAATATTATACAATTGAAAATAACAAAAGTCCGAAAAGCGTTAGTTAATCTGAAATGATAGGCAGATCAGAACGATCGGAAAGGGTATGACTAGTAAACGAGTTGTAATTTCCCCCTTCCAAATGTCACTATTTTTACGTATCGTTCTCCATGCCTTCATTTTCATCTCATCAGCGAATAAAACTTTTACATATATTTATTTTATATTATATAATATTACAACTTTTCACAGGGAAATTTTTTCTTGCGAGTGTGTGCGCGTTTTAATCATTACACGCGCAAATGCGTACAACTGGAATTTATTATAAGTATAAAATTAAATTTTCTTTGACTGAATAACAAGAATATTTAATGTCCTGATGTATTGTAAAGAGAAGAAATGTGTACTTTGTGCTTTAATAAAGGCTTTGTTGTCATGAATATTACAGGAATGTTGACTGTTCAGAAATATTTTCACTGTTCTCTTTTGTAAATAAAATTTCATTTCTAATAGTTTTCAAAGTAAAAAAAAAAAATGGAAAACCGTGGGATTGAAAATATATTTTAATTCCTGCTTGATTAACATCTTTCACTATCACAAAGTTCCATAAATAGCACAACTTTAAATAACAAAAATATACAACGGCCCTTTAAACAAATAGAAGTCATCGTTGCAAGGAAAATTTCTAAACTGTTTATAGTTGCAAGGAAGGTATATTTATAGATGTATATGATTGTGAGAGCACGTACAGCCGTTTGTGAACATATGATTTTAAAAGTATTGTTTTTCAAAATCATGTAAAATATGATTATGTACTTGTTTAATAAAAGGTTTTTTTAATGGATTGAATTTATTAACGTACCGATGTACCGGGTGTGGGGGTACCGATATATGTTTTCATTACAAAACCTTTGATGAAATAAGGCTTGGCTAAATTTATTGAAAAGTTGAAAACGTATTGAATTTTGACGAAATATAAAACTAACGCTATCGCCCATGCACACTCACAAAATCAATGTAATCGACAAATTTATTGAACACCAGTAAATGCATATTTTAAATTTGACGATTAGTAATAATAATCATTAAGGTCGTCGGTGACTGCAACGGTTTAGGCGTTGTCACGGCGCTCATCACTGTAAGGTAAAGGTCCCGGGTTCGAATCCAGCGGCCCTGCATTCGAACCCGACATACTTTTCATAAACACCGGCACCCCGAGGGTTGATATAGCCTCTGCTGTTGCGAACCCTCGTTTAAAAAAAAATTGAAATGTAATTACATATCTATAAGATACAATTAAACACAATGGTGCTCATTATCATTACCATGTGAGAAAATCCAAGAATAAATTAATAGATGTTACCTTATAAACAATTTATGATGCAATATTTTCATTGTGTAAGGCGATCATAATACATAAATATCTAATATTCATACATAGGGATACAACGGAATTTTGGTAGATTCCATCCAGTATCTAAGGAAGTTTCTGTGTTTCTTCAAACCGATTGAACACAAATTCTAGTTAGTACACTCCAACAGACTGAGTAGATATGTAGATAAGTATTTAGTGTTGTACTTTTACGTATATGTAAAATACGTATTGTAATATATGTAATAAATTTTTTTTTATTTAGTACTAAAGACAGACTCAATGGGCTAAGCCGTCTGAGGAGTCTCATTTGATTTAATATTATGGGAAACAAAAATAGAGAATAATTATGTCAATAAAAATGTTCTTTAATACAATTATAATGTAAATTTATGGTACAGTAAATACTGGCAAATAATAAATAATCTCTTTCAAAATCGAATTTACTTGTCGAATAATCTGTTTCTGGATATTATTATATTAAAGTGATTAAGGTTTTGAGTTGAGATAATAAAGTCAATGTCATGAGCGGGATTCGAACCCACGACCTTCGGTCGATACCCCGCTACTCTACCACCTGAGCTATCGTGACTTCGATCCACTCGGACACTAACTTCTCATCTCAACCCCACCTTTTGAATTTTCCCTCCTTTTTGCCATTTTTCAAATGTCGTGTAATCGATTTGATTCTCGGCGACAATTGAAATGGCCACGTAGAGCTTTAGTGAAAATATACTTCATTTTAACTTATTCAATTCACTAGTTTTCGAATCCGGTTTACCAATTAATATATTACAATTAATTAAGGTTTTT